AAAAGAACTATAGTTAGCAAAATTGCAGTTGTCACAGTCAAGGTCTCATTGGAAATAGAAGGTTGGATAAAAAGTTAAAACAGTCTTCACACATTAACTGCCACATGAGTTGTATTTAACTCAATGCTAGTTTTGAACCTGCAGCCTTGCGAAGCAAAACCCTGCAGTTGGTTCATAAAAATCTTACATGTTGATGTTCTTATTGTTACAGTTAATATTGACAATTTCTTAAAAAGTGGATTAAATGAATAGAAGTCAATAAATTTTGTTTTTCATTAAATTAGAAAGGATCAGTTTGTTTTTGAAATTTACATTCTGTTGTCATAAAAAAACACTGTGGCCCCAAGGAAAAAAAATTTTTTTTCTACTGTGGCAGTCAATGTGTTAAATGAATATATTTTTAACACAACGGAGTTCCCAGAAGACATCCACTTCCAATTCAAGCCATACTCATCAATGTTAAAAACCTCACTCACTTAACATTGTTTAGAAAACATTACTGTGATTTATGATGTTCTAAAGCATAGTGGCCCAACAAGTTTCATGCCTCTTTGAAACATTTTCAAATAAATTCTTAATGGCTTGGAATTTGATATGTTGTGCTTTTATTCTCTTTTGTTTTGTTATTGTTTAATATTAGCAAAAGTGTTATGTAACGATCTGGGCTTTTGCAAATTAATGCTTTAAGGAAATCTTTTTTCTGGTCTTGATAGTCTATCCATCATTATAAAAGTATAAAGAGATTTTTTTCTCTATTGTCGGGATATAAAAGGGAATCAATAATTGTTATACTTTTTGTTTCCACTGGACTGAATTCTTCAAGTTGGTTTTATATTTTGTTGTACAAATATTAAAAATCATAATTGATGAGTAATTTCTTTAGTTCTGTTTTACTCCACCCTACTCCACTCCCCATCCCTATCTATAAGTAAATTCATATTTGATCTAATTTGTCCTTGTTCTCAATACCTAAAAATAGGAAGACCATATCCAATATCTGCAGAGATTCCTTCTGGTCAATTTTGGCCTGGCTGGTTTTACATAGCTTAATAAACATCCTCCAGCCTTATATACAGTATTTGGTTTATTTAATATATTTGCATTCAGAAATGTCTGTGCAACCCATCTTACTTGAGGAAAGAGCCACATTACTGATGTGTTCTTGATCCATTCACACTAAGAAAAAGGAGGGATACAAACCTATCCATGTCTGATGATCCCAAGGGTCTCTTGCCTTCCTTAGGGAAAGAGCCTTCCTCCTGGGAGAAATTGAATAATATATACTAATGCTAAGGGAGCCCATACAAGCCTTCTTATCAATATAGATTTTCATAAATAAAAAATACCAAGATATGTGAAGAGAATCAATAATGAGAAAGAGGGCCATGCTATGTGTGTCTTTTGTGGCTTTCAATTTATGGCTTACATCATCCATCTCATCTTATTGTATGTCTTTAGATTAACTTCTCATATGTCAGTTTAATCTCTTCTGAAAGGTAACTTTGTTTGAAATGACTTCCCAAGAATCCCAAAAGTGAGTTTTATGCTACACAGCCTATATCGGATCAGATTGTTTCACTCAAATTTCATAAAAAACCAAGTTAAATTTGACTTACGTTATGTTTGTGCTAGACATTGTCACCATCTTCTGGACCTGGTTGGTTAGTTGGTTGGTTAGTTTATTTATACATGCAATGTAGAATAGTAGAACACATGCTTAAATTCAGAGCTCCATTTTTACCACTTAGTTTCTAAATAACCTTGAACAAATCATTTAGTCTAATTTCCTCATCTATTATAGGACAGTTGTAAAGATTGAGGTTAACATACATAAAGTTCTTAGTACCTGCTGTATACATGTTTGTTTTCTTCCCATTTCTGAAACCTCAGTTTAAAAGCTTTTAATAAACTCTAGAGTGAAGTTCAGTCTCTTTACCCTGATTCTTAAGGCCCACTATATTAGGTGCTTCTTTAACTTTCCAGCTGCATCTCATTCAGCTATTAAACATTGATTCAGCACTTGCCCAATAAACAGGGAGCTTACAAAGACCTTGATTTCCACAAACTTACTCTCTTGGTCTCCTAACCAAACTCTTCATTCCAGGGAACCCACTGACTTACTCTTTCCTGAGCAAACAACATGGTTTTCTCCCCTTTCCTTTTTTATCTTTTTTTTTTGAGACAGAGTCTTGCTTTGTTGCCCAGGCTAGAGTGAGTGACATGGCGTCAGCATAGCTCATAGCAACCTCAAACTCCTGGGCTCAAGCAATCCTGCTGCCTCAGCCTCCCGAGTAGTGGGGACTCCAGGCATGCGCCACCACGCCTGGCTAATTTTTTCTCTATATGTTAGTTGACCAATTAATTTCTTTCTATTTGTAGTAGAGATGGGATCTCGCTTTTGCTCAGGCTGGTTTCAAACTCCTGACCTCAAGCAGTCCTCCCGCCTCAGCCTCCCAGAGTGCTAGGATTACAGGCGTGAGCCACCGTGCCCTGCCTCCTTTTTTATCTTAATGTAATTGTTTCTTCCACCTGAAATGTCTTTTCTCCACTTATCAAAATCTAGTCTGTCTTCCAAGATCCAATTCAAATACCTCTCCTTCTATGTAGCTTTTGCTGGATCCTCTTCCCTCTACGTGGGAACACATTTCTTTGAAGTCTTATAATACTTGGATTGGGCTAATTGTTTTACACCTTTTTTTCTCATAAACATAACTAAAGAAGTGTTGGTATAAGAAATCATACCTTTTGCATTAGTTTGAATACTCTCCCATAACTTCTGACATTATAGTGAATCCTCAATAATTGTATTGTTGGTGATTCTAGATGCCCAAAATTAAAAGGAGGGAGACCACAGCCCTTGATTTGAAGCTCCAACATCTAAGTTAATTAAACTGCAAGGGAAGCCCACAATTGTTATTAATAGAAGAAGCCTTTAATTAGCATTTTAGGGGAAAAAATTTAGGTTGAGTATCCTTTACCCAAGATGTTTGGGATCAGAAGTGTTTCATATTTCAGATGTTTTTGGATTTTGTGTATATATGATGAGATTTCTTGGGGATGTGACCCAACTCTAAACACAAAATTCATTTATATTTCATATACACCTTATAGCCTGAAGATAGTTTTATATAATATTTTTAATAAGTTTGTGCATGAAACAAAGTTTATGTGAAGTACTTACGTGTAAAACTTTCCACTTGTGGTTTCATGTAAGCATTCAGAAAGTTTGCTTTTGGAGCATTTCAGGTTTTTGGATTAGGGTTGCTCAACCTGTACTAATCTAGAAGGCTGTTTATCCTCCTGTGGTGGAGGGATATCATCATGCAGTAACCTAGAAACATATGTTATTGGAGTTTTTTGATTTTTAGCAATTTAGCCAAGTAGGACTATTAGCTAGGTAGATAGGCAGACTAGGTGATTAGTTAAGAGATTAGGTATTTGTATTAAATACCAAATCTGTTGGGTTTGGTAATAGCTTTCTTATCATAGGAATCAGTGAAATTATATTGGCCGTGGGTTAATATTGAGCTGTTGGAATATTCAACTTAATTTGATACTGTTAGTATGTTATAATACAAAACTCTATTTGATCTTTGTGCCATGTCAGGTTCCTAAAAGCCTTGGAATGTTTGAATGATAGGAATGTCTTTTGTTACTCCTAACAAGTCCCTTTCCAGTCATAACTGAGTATGCTAATGAGGTAACTCAGGGTAAGGCTCCCAGATAGCCTCAGGATGGGGCTAGTCACCAGAAAGACCAAGAAATTAGAAGGTTGGTACTTTAGGTATCACCCACTGACCTCTGGGAAAGGGGCAGAGGCCTGGAAATTGTTTTTTTGGATTGGGAAGACATCAAGGGTGCTGGGAGGGTGACATGGCCTGTAGAAGACATGGAGGCTCCACCACAGCCCCCAACCCTACCCCCAAATACCTTGCCCTATCCATCACTTCCATTTGGCTGTTCTTGAGTTGTATTTTTTGTAAAATACCGGTAGACATAAATCAGGTGTTTTCTTGTGTTCTTCTGTGAGCTATACTAATAAATTATGGAACCTGAGGAGGGGTTTATAGGAACCCTCAATTTCTAGCTAATTGATCAGAAGTACAGGTGGCTTGAGACTTTTGATTGGCTTCTGAAGTGGGAGGAGTCTTGTGGGACTGAGCCCTTTTACTCCTGGGATCTGAAACTAACTCCAGGTAGATAGTGTCAGAATTTAACTGAATTATTGGATGACCAGTTGGAAAACTGGTTGATGTTGGAGAGAACACTCCTCAACTGTGTTAACTGAAGATGATATAAGATATTGACAAAAACAAACAAACACCCATGCCTACTACTAACAGAATATGAAGTTTAAAATTGCAAGCCTGATTGTGAATTTCATGGTTTGTGGTACAAAAAGCAGTTGGTTTGGGAAAGTCTTCAGCTCTGTTTGTGAAAACTTAACTATCTTGTAGAATGTTCACATGATTAGTTCCCCTCAGTTTCTTTGGCTCAAGAACTAGGAGTTACAGTATCTAGAATTTTTTAAGTTAAGTTTTTTTTAAGTTTAAGTTCTAAAGTTGTATAAGATCAGTACTGTATTTGAATTCTAGATATCTGCCAGCTTCCAGTGATCCTTGAGTCCATAGCAGGGTGTTTTTCTTTTAATGTGCTAGTACTTTATTTACTTGCTCCTTTATTCTAACACCTTTATTGAGATATACCATACACTTTACCCACTTAAAGTGTACACTTCAGTGGTTTTTAGTTTTTTAGTCTCAGTTGTACAACCATCATCACAGTCAGTTTTAGAACATTTTCATTACCCCCAAAAGAAACTCCATGCCCTGTAGCCAACATTCCCCAATCCTTTATTATACATGCCTCTTCCCCCCCCCCCCCCCGCAACCACTAGTCTACTTTTCTGCTTCTAGATTTGCCTGTTTGGGGCATTTCATATAAATGGAATCATACAATATGTCCTTTATGATTGACTTCTTTCACTTAGCAGAATGTTTTCAAGGTTTATCAGTATCATAATGCTTCAGTGAACATTCTTACATAGTCTGTGTGGACATAGGTGTTCATTTTCTTGAGTATATACATAGGAATTGAATTCCTGGGTCATATAATAACTTAATGTTTAATCTTGAGGAACTGTCAAAATTGTTCTCCAAAGTGACTGCACCAATTTTATTTTCTCAATAACAGTAATTAAGGTATCCAACATTTCCACATCCCTACCAATATTTATCATTATCTGATTTTTGGGTATAGCCATCCTAGTGGGTGTGAAGCAGTAGCTCATTTTGCATTTAATTTGTATTTCCCTGATGGCTCATGAGCCATCCTGTATTTACTGGCTATTTGTATATATTCTTTAGAGAAATAAACGTTTGGATCCTTTACCAGTTTTAATTGGGTTACTTGTATTTTATTGAGCTGTGAGAATTCTTTATATATTCTAGATAGAAGTCCCTTATCAGATATATGATTTGCAAATACTTTTTCCCATTCTGTGGATTATCTATAGCATTACTTTTGATACTTGGATTTTGTTTTGTTTTGTTTTGTTTTATTTAAGGAGACTTCTGGGTGATCAAAGCCCACGAAATGGAAGTGTGAACAGCCAAGTTAGGGAGGCAGGCTCTATCTGGTGAACTAAAACAAACAACTTTCCATGATATGCCCATCATTAAACTTTTATTTGTCTTATTTTCAGCTTTTTCTTTATTGTATAAAATTATAACAACATACAGGAAAGAGGTGGAGCTTAAGTTGAACACTTGGCCATCTCATGTAATAATACCCACACAGTATAGGATATGACTTACTTGTGGGCTGACTGCTCTGTTTTTTAATGTTTGTAGTATTGCCTCCAAAACTAATGAAACAAACTTTAATATAGGAATCAAAAGATCTGTTATCTAGCTCCACTACTTAGCCCTATGACCTTCGTCAAATAACTTACCCTCTCTGGATATAGATTTTTCTCATCTATGAAATGAGAGAATTGATAGGAGAATTGAACCGATTGAACAGTATATTCTTTAAGGTTCTTTCCACCTTTAAAATGTGGTTATTTAATGCAATTAACACAAGTGATTTTATTTTTCTTCTTCTTCCTGCTCTTTAACAAGGAAGTTACACCTTGTTGAAAAATCTTAGGCCTAATGTACAATTTCTCAAAAGGATTGGAGTTAGATGGATTTGACAGGTAAAAACCTGGGCACATGTAGATATTCATTGAAGACTTACTATAGGATAGCAAATGCCATCTGTGTGAATTTACATTGTGGGATAGAGGAACATGACCTAAGAGTCACCAGTGAGGTAGAACTAAAGGAAGAAATAATTTATGCACCTGCTGAGGGTGTGGCTAAGGACTGTGAGGACTGAGTCCTTGATTGCCTCCTTGGAAGTGTTCAGAGATCATTAAAGAAGCAGCAAGCTCTCAGAGGTCAGTTGTGTCTAAAGGTGAAACCAAAACCTAAACTACAACTAATAAGAAAAATAGGACCATAAGAAAAGGAACATCTGAAAAGGCCTAGAAATTGTAAGGTAAGTACACTACATTTTGTTTAGTTTGTTTGTTTGGTTGTTTTTTTGTTTTTCCTGGAGTAATTTTTTAAAGCTTCAGGGTACTGAAAGTTTGTCATTGGTCCTTGAGCTCAACTGAGATAATTTGCTAGAGCTTCAGACATCATAGAGGAAGATATGCAAGTTTGACATCTGTGAGCCAAGCAGGATATGGAAGAGTAAGGGAAAGGTCATTGAGATTGAGATCTATTTGCCAAAGTTTGGTAACTTTGATTCCCACTACAAGCTACTTAAAATTCTGGTTAGGTTTTGTTTTTGTATTTGACTAACCTCCGTGATGTTATTAATCAAACATCATTATAAATAAAGCACATGTGAGAAGCAAAAAACATAGTTCTCTTTTTAAAAAATAAAGTAACTAGTCAGAAATCAGACTAGGGAAAAAAGGCTTAGAAATTTAATTAGAACACTTTTCTCCCTTTTGGATATGGGTCTTTGTCCCATTATAAAAATAGCTCATCATAACCACTTAAAAAATACGGAGATTTTGTCTTTAAGGTCTTCTTAGAGCTCTTTAAGAAAACCTGTATTTCCTCAGGAGATTATTTGATGTAAACACAGAACTTGAAATACATATAAAATTTTTATACTCTTAAGGTAGTAATGGTGATATATGGACTGTTGATGTCTCAGTTTCCCTTGGGTTGAGCAAGAAATACACTTCAAAAGTTAAGAGAGTTGATATGTTGGTCCAAATGATGGTAGGTACTCAGCTTTTGTTATGGAATCAGGCTTAAGGTATAGGGAGTCAGCTACAACTACATTCTATTTGGTGTGAGTATTGAACCTGTCATGTCCGGCTTCTTGAGCAATTTCATCAGCCTAGAATCACGTGACAAGGCAGAATTACCAAATACCAAAGTCTTAGAATATGCCCAGATCATCTTTGCAGGTATGTTTCCTGGACCGAACATGTATCTGCATTGGACATGAGCAGGATACCTGAGCAGCTTTATTTCACTGCAGTCTAAATGGGCCTGCTGCCAGCACACTGAGCAAAAGCAATGTTATGCAGATTTACTGAAGAACAGCTTCAGGGAATGTGACACAGTTATGGAATGCTGGGAAGTAACAGATGTAAACTTGCAGCTGTAAGATAAAGGATGGTTTGTTTTGTGCCAGGGCATTAAGTGACAAGGTATCATGGTGATGTTCTCTTAAAAAGGATAGCCCTGCTGTGAACCAGAGCTGTTGTCCTGTGGACATGTTAGGAGAAGATAAACTTAGGGCCACCAAAAGTACTTTTATATATAATTTTTTTAAAAAAAGATACAATGTACTTATAGGTAGGACTTTTAAATAATTCCAATTACTCACAGACTTTCCAGTCATATATTATTAGCAATGTACTGTTCAGTCTGGTGTAATCGAATGACGTCTCAGTTGTCTAGATAGTCATTTACCTATGTGGCTGTGAACTCTGGGTAACAATACCAATTTTAGAGCTCTGATATAGTGGTGATTACTTTTTATAAGAGGGTTGAACACTCAAGGGCTACTAAAGAATTTTTAATAAGAGAATACTGGGCACCTGTATTCAAGTTGAATCAGTTTAATAGGTGGAGAGCAGATGATTTGCAGGTGCAGCTTATTGAACAAGTATGAACAGCATTTACTCTTGTGATTTAATTTTAGTATTCTTTTAAACAATCTTAAATGTAATTAAGCACAAAGCAAGTTTGCCTTTGGCTGTATAGAGGAATAGACTAGCCCATGCACAACCATTCACTATAAGAAAGCACATTTCTTTTCCTTAGAAAGTATATGGGGAAATTTGGAGTAACAGGTAGTACCTCCTGGAATGGAATTTTAAGTGGGATAATATGAGAGCAGCAAAAGTCCATAAATAGATGCCTTCAGTAACTATTTGATGAAGTTTTTCCAATCCCAGCTTACCTGTGGATCCTGCTGCTATTTCTCCATGTTCATGAGCATCAAATGAATCTATTTTAAAGTGTAAAGTATAAAACTGGAAATAAACAAATGTGACATATTGAAAATGTGATTGAACCTGTTTTTATGCTTAGGGTAATAATAGTATTTTTTAACCAGACCAAAAAAATAAGGTTCATTTAATTGTGCTAAAAGGGCACTCTTTCTTTACATATGAATGTTATTGATCTGTTTTTTTAAAATATAGTGTTGCTTAACTGATTATTATACTAAATCTGTTAAAATAGGCTATTTTACTGTCATTAAAATGTAGGTCAGTATCTTAGTTATACTTCTGACATTTTATAGAGCATTTTATAGTTAATTCAGGCAGCTTTTTAAGAAATGGAATACTTTTCTATTTCTATTTTATTCTTTTGAAGTCCCTTATTCCATAACTTAATATTAAAACTGTGTTAAAAATTGCTGTGCTTCCTCATAACTTCCGTTTCTTCTCTTTTAGGCCACAGACTTCCTTAGGGAGGAGGTGAGGGAGAAGTGAATTCTCACGTTAGCCAATAGAATCTAGAATTGTGTAGTGTTTACCTATTTTGCGTAACATAGACCCACCCACATACATTATGAAGTGCTTAAGTGAAAGAACAGTGGGCAGACAGCTAGCTATTCAGTGTGTGATTCCAAGTGTAACTGGCAGATGCTTTAGTACTATCTGGATTTTATTCTCTGATGAGAAGGTTGTCTTTGTAGCTTGTGGTGATAGCGATGGAATAGAGAGGTAGGTTTTCTGTGGCTTCATTTTAAGTGTCACGTTGTCGATGCTGTAGGTTAAAGTAAGCTTGCAAAAGCAATGATTTGAAGTATAATTCATCTGATTGTTTATATTTAATTTTTCACATTTTTTCATATGTAGCTTTAGAGATTATGTTCTATGAATTAAATTTCCTTCCAGTTTAGGGAAGGGGTTGAATAAATCTCAAGCTCGAGGGCTTTTGTGTTCTTAGGGAGGATTTATACTATTAATCTCATGTCTTATCAGTCTTAAAGAAAGCCTAGGAAATATAACTACAGGTATTTATTGCCTGTTAATTATTGGTCAACAGAAAACCGAAAGCTGTTCATTTTTAATGCTTTTTCAATCCAAGCTACACAACTTAGGTTTTTTAAAATATGTTTTAGAATTTAATATTGTCCATTGATTTCTTTTCAGTTACAGATTTGAGAATTATGTTGTTCTCTGAAGGAAACAGTTTGGTAGCCAGAATGATGGTGCTGTCATTTAACTTCAGTTTGCTGTTGACAGCTTATTCAGAATCTTAGTTTTTCAGCCATAAATCTTTCCCCAAGATTCTCTCAATAAAGAGATGTGAGCCTTTGAAATAACTATAATTTAGTATTTAAACATTACCCTAAGGTGGGGAAAATTTATAAAGAATTTTTTTAAATATTGACAGTCATGCTTTACAAGGATTTTAAGTAATGTTTCTATCTGAATATTTGTTTTGTCTTCCTCAGATATGGTTGGAAGAGATTTAAGAATTTTAGATCTGATGATTCATTAGAGAGACTCTTTCTGCTAAAAAGTGAACAGTGATAAGTTTCCCAGCAGTGTTCTTTTCTGAAGCATTTTATTTTCTCCAAAAGAAAAGTATTATTGAAATTTTTTTCTTTCTATGGAGAATTCATGAAAAGCTTATTGTGATTTCTAGAATACTAACATGCTGCCCAGTAATGTATAATTGTTTTGGATCAAATTTTCTACTCTATTTGTGAGGAAGAAGTATTTATTCTCTTGTAAATTTATAAAATGGATATTAAGTCAGTGACAAGAGAAAAAAGTTGCAAATCGGGGAAAATTGATTATAATAATTAACCAAATTGGCATATTAGTAATATGATAATGTAATAATAGAGAAAGAGGAAATTTGTAGAAATACCTCATCTATATGTATTTATCATTTTCCTTATGAAAAGGGTTAAATAGGAATACCATACTGAGTGATTTAAAATATTCACTCTGCTTAAAAAAAATTGTTCTTAGCCTCCCACACACAATGTCTCTAAATTACTGCTGTAAAAATTTATGGGGCAAACATGATTTGGTCAAAGAAAGATCAGCTGCTACTTTAAGAACTTTTCATGAACTAAAGGGAAAATTTAACTCTCATAAGATAAAACTTGTTCATTAGTGATAGTAGTAATAATTGTCATCTTTTAATAATGATTTCTCTCTATTGGTAACTGACTTTTCTGTTAGAAACAATATTGGAGATTTATTTATAATTTGACTTTTCAACTACATTTTTCCCCATTCCTTTTGAATGGAACATATAGTGGAATTTTGAAACTAAAAGACTTAGAGTTAAATTCTCTGAAAGAGCAGGGAATGTATGTTCTAACTCATTTGATTTAGATAGACTATTTTCCTCCTACTGAGAATCAAAGATAGCATTCAACCTTGTATTTAATTGCAATGATTTTTTAGGTCTTTGATTATATTTCAGAGTCTATTATGTATTAAGAGCAGTAGAAAACTAGAACTTTCTACATGGTATCAAACTTATCTGCAAAGAACAGATTATAGACATTTGTTTGTAACATGAGAAATAAAGATGAATCTCTGAGAAAATAATTAGATCTTTAGGGGCATCGTCACCATAAATCAACCAAGTATTTATTAAGACCTACTTTTTATGCCTAACTAAAATATTTAATATATAGTTGGTATTTAACAAATGCTTGTTGTTTTTTTTTTAACATTACATTGGATCCTTAGAAATTGCTGATTTAACTCTCACAATCTGAGTAATGTTAAGATACTCAAAAGTCTATGGCTTGTAGTAATTCATAATTTTGCTGAGCCACAAGTTTTGAATTGTGTACTATGAGGTTGATTTATAAAAGAAATAATGTATTTAGTGAGTGAGCCAAGCAGATGGCCCAACATCCAAATCTCAGTGTAGTTTTGTTGTTCTCATTCAGTCCTCACAACAAATCCTATAAGATATAGGAAATACTGTCATCATTTTATAGGATGAGAAAATCATGTGCTACAGAGCTGGTTTGCAAATTTGAGAATTCATGAAGGAATCTCATGACTATCAGTGGACCAAGTTCAGAGTTGGCCCTAAGTACAGTCATGGCTTGGTCCTTCACAAGTGTCTCTTCTAGTTTAAAGAACACACTATCATAATGAAATAATTACTGATAATTCAAGAAAATACCTTCGGGCTTTTCAAGATTTATATTTTTAAAGCATTTTTTAATGAAATGTATCAAAATTACCTAGGACTGCTTCTTGTTCTTTACTCTTCCCCCTCCCAGATCTCATTTCTATTCCCATTCATAAATTTTTAAGAGTAGGAAGGAATCATGTGAATAGGCAGCAGAACTGAAATAAGTTCAAATAATGTTAAAGATTTTGATGTACATAATTAATTCAGAAGCTATGATATAATTGCATTGACGACATGTTTTTCAATAAAACCACCAAGAGCATTCAATAATAATTCAGTTGCCCTCATATGTCATAACTTTTTTCTTTTTCCCCTACATCAACAGCAGCAAAGTCATAACTTTTTTTAGGAAGAAATCAGGAAGCATGGTTCTGCCAAATTCTGGTCAGTATGGGATGGGTCACTTTGGTTCAGGTATCACACAGTCCAATGAGTGGCCACACTTGTGCAGTAATAACTTTCCCTGACCAAGGGGGCTATGGACAGGGCAGTTTCACATCAGAGAAAGGACATGAGACCTGACAGGCACTGTGATTTGACAGGCCCAGAATAACATGGAACTCTGACTCCTTTAAGTTGTGAGAAGACTGAAAGGAGGCAAACTGTGAATCTTGAATTAATTTCTTTTTAATGCCTTATATTAAATTTAAAGGGCTTTTTTTGTTTCTATATTTATCTTTTTTTAACTTTTTACATTGAAATAATGTTAGCTTTACAGAAAAATTAGAAAACTAATACAGTAAGATTATATACACCCTTTACTCAGCTTCCTCTAATGTTAATTTATTTAACCGGAGTATATTTATCACACTTAGGAAATTAGCATTGGTACAATACTATTAACTCAACTCTAGGCCATATTCAAATTTCACCAGTTTTTCCATTAATGTCGTTTTACCATTCCAAGATCCAATGCATGATCTTTATTTTGCATGTAGTTGTTGCATCTTCATAATCTCCAATCTGTGACAGTTTCTTAGTCTTTCCTGACCTTGGCACTTTTAATGAATACTGATAGCTATTTTGTGGAATGTCTGTCAGTTTGGCTTTGTCTAGTGTTTTCTTGTGATTCAATGGAAGTTATATGTTTTTTGTCAGGATATCACAGAAGTGAGATGTCTTCAGTGCATTATCAGGGATACATGATATCAAAATGTCCTATTATAAACAATGTTAACCTTAATCAGTTGGTTAAGATAATGTCTTCCAGGTGTCTCCCACTGTGAAGTTACTATTTTCACCTATACAATTAATAAATATTTTGGAGGGGATATTAACACTTTGACTATTGTTGCCTTTTTTTACAAATTCATGTAACTTGGTCAGAGTTTTAATAAATTAAGAACTAGAGAAAACCCAGGGTATTCTATTTCTAGGAGTAATTTAATAGTCCAATATAATCATTAAACAATACTTTTGGGGGAAGAGCTCATAACCTACATAAAATTAGTATCATCTGCTCCTGGAAATAAATAATGACCATTTTTTATTTCATAAGTTGGTATTGGTTTAAAGTGGTTGGGGAAAATCTATTTTATTCATTTTTTTCCAAGTTTAAGTTTTATCCAAAGTACTTTTAAACTCAGCTTTAAACAACTGATTGAATTACTGAAAAATTAAAATGGTTAATCATTGTTAATAGAAGTTTACTCTTAAAGTTAGCCCTTTAGGACAATAACATAAGTTATGTAAGTTATGTAGTACTTTAAAGTAGGAAAGGAGATGGGTTTTTTTTTTGTTTGTTGTTTAATTTAGTTTCCCAATGTAGTTTTGTTTTTCGCCCACCCCCGTCCCCCGCATAGAGGTATATCTTGGAGATATTGCAGGTTCAGTTCTAGACTATTGCAATAAAGCAAATATTGCAGTAAAGTAAGTCACACAAATTTTTGATTTCCCATTGCATATATAAGTTATATTTAAACTGTATTGTGGTCCAGTAAGTATACAATAACACTAAAAATGTCTAAAAATGTATATACCTTAAGTTAAAAATACTTTACTGTTAAAAATATGCTAACAATCATCCGAGCCTTCAGCAAGTTGTAATCTTTCTGTTGGTATAGGATCTTGTCTTGATGTTGATGACTGCTGACTGATCAGGGTGGTGGTTCCTGAAGGTTGGGATTGCTGTGGCAATTTCTTAAAGTAAGACAACAATGAAGTTTGCTGCATCAGTTTCTTCTTTTCATGATTTTCCTGTAGTGTACATGCGATGCTATTTGATAGCATTTAACCGCAGTAGAACTTACTTCAAAATTGGAGTCCTGTGAAACCCTGCCACTGCTTTATCAACTAAGTTGATGTAATATTCTAAATCTTTTGTTGTCATTTCAATAATATTCACAGCATCTTCATCAGGAGTAGATTGCACCTGTATAAACCACTTTCTTTGCTCATCCATAAGAAGCAACTCCTAATTTCGTTCGAGTTTGCTTATAAAATTGTAGTGATTCAGTGACATCTTCAGGCTACACCTCTAGTTTTCTTGCTGTTTTCACTACACCTGCAGTTACTTCCTTTACTGAAGTCTTGAACTCCTCAA